TCAACACAAACTCAAACACACGAGAGACACACCATTTGTTTGCGATTTCAGTGATTGTAAGCAAAGTTTTTCGCAAAATTCGTCATTACTTGTGCACAAACATAGGGCACATGGAGTCAAACCATTTATATGTGAATTCAATGGTTGCGACAAAATATTTGGCTTAAATGCTAATAATAATCGTTACAAACAAACCTCAAATTTAAGGCTCAAACCATTTATCTGTGATTTTTATAATTGCGGCAAAATGTTTGCCCAAAAGTCTAATTGCAAACAACATTATCGAGATGTGCATGGTTAGTATTTTAAGTGTGAACTTAACTTCATTATAATTGATATTATCATTTAAACAATAAGCTATGTAAAATTTTATTTTAATTAAAATGATACAATTTAATCATAAATATTGAAAATACTTTTTCATACAGTATTAGTACTACAGTCGCAAATACTGTATATAATGAGTTTATTTTGTAATCTTTTTTAGCATAGTATTTAATTTAACAATAAAATTGTATTAATTATGAAAATAAATAATGTATTTTTTGAGTAAAAAATATTGTATTATAGTATTATTTTTATAAATTAATTTATTAAACTAAAATTAAAATAAATAAATCATTTTATACTTTATGTTAAATTATAGTAAATTTAAACATATAAAATATTTTATTGTAGATTTGATAAAAATAAAAAATTTATTTAATTAAAGGAAAAAGTTTTGTTAAATTAATTTTGTAATTAGTTTGTTTAAACAACAAATTAAATAATACATTAGTTTGTCGCATTAAAATTGATTGTGAAATTTACATGTTAATTAGCATTCATAAAAGTTTAATGCTAATTAAAATTGCTTACAAAATAACTTTGATTGAGTTATTTAATCAGTGTAAATTTGAGAATATATAAAATGCACATTAAATAATAAATTTTTCATTTATTTTTAAGAGTTTAATATTTTTCATTTAAAATGTTTATAGGGATAATATTTGCGATTGTATTGTCCATAACATTAAGCAAGTGTCAGGAGCCTATCAACTGTCCGGATCGTAAACTACTGGAGCCGTGCTATTGTTGGAATCCTAATAAATTCAATATTGGCGTCAATTGTAACTCGAGCACCATAACTGACCTTGCTCCCATATTTGCTAACATGAAAAATCTACCACAAAATCAAAAGTCATTTGAATACTTGATTATGAGAGGCACTAATATCCCACGAATTAATGCCAACACTTTCGGAGACATTACTTTCAACGACATTGAAATTACTTCCGATCACTCATTAAAAGTGATTGATGTGAATGCCTTTCACGGGATGGCCGATAGGGTGAGTAGGCTCACCATTTCGAACACACCTAACCTGGACCATAATGCCACTGATATATTTGCTATGATTAGGCAATTATCAAACATAACTCATGTATTTCAAAATAACACTAATTTAGGACAAATTCCGAGCAATGCTTTCAATGGATTAAATCATTTGGATTACATTTACATTCGGGACAAAAAATTGACAACAATTAGTGAAAAAGCTTTCTTTGGATTAAATTCCGTAAAACGTATTCTGATTTCTGGGACCAGTATTACTCGTATTAAAGAAAATGTGTTGACATTCAGTCCCACAACCGATACACTTATGATGGCTTTCATAGAGAATGCTTATCTGAATAGTTCCTCATTTGATGGCCAATCACTCAGTCATTTGGGACGACCCGTCAGTTTGTATGCCGTGACTGAAGACATTGAATGTGGTATCAAATTACCAAAAACGTGGACCTATTTGGATGAGAAGGCATTCAAAGGATTTTTCGCGTCTCATACCAACAATTCAGTGCATTTTTATTACAATCATATCGATTGCGATGATAGCCGTAACCAATGGTTTGTAAAGGATCTTGGTATTATGAACAGGATTTATAAATTAGTTGGAGAAAGATCTGAATCTGAAAAAGCAATTAATTGTCCCAAAAAATAGCACCCGGATTTAAAGTTATTTTACGCAACTGTAATTAAAACTTCAATTATATAAAAATGATCCTAAATTGATATTAGCTTTCAAATAAATTTACAAACAAAATTATATAAAATATATTCAACTACAATATATAATATTATATTTAAAAAAATTTAACAATTATAAATATTTTCTAATAAAATTCCAAACTTTTACATAATATGTTACTATTTACTAATTTATTTTAAAAGTATTACTCTAATTATTAATTAGATATAAAATTATTTACCCGAAATAAATATAATATGATGCCATAAATAACAGTAATACTGAAAATTATTGAGAATATTAATTAATTATTTCATATAATAGCATAATTAATGTGTATAAACAGCAAATAAAATAAGTCATTAGTTTGTTATATTAAATTCTATTGTGTACTATACACTGTAATTTGTTATTAGCTTAATGTTAATTAGAGTTGATTACAAAATAACATACTTTAGTTATTTAATCAGTGTAAATTGAAAAATATATAAAATTGAAAAATAGAAGTTCAATATAAATTTCACTTATTTTCAAAAATTGAAGGATTTTTCATTGAAAATGTTTGTACGGATAATATGTGCGATTGTATTGACCATAACATTAAGCGTATGTCAAGAGCCTGTCAAATGCCCGGATAATAAACTACTTGAGCCGTGCTATTGTTGGAATGAATATAAAGGCAAACTGAGTCTGAAATGTGGGCCCAGCGCTATAACTGACCTTGCTCCCATATTTGCTAATATGAAAAATTTACCACAAAATCAAAAGTCATTTGAGAGGTTGTATTTGAGGGCCACTAATATCCCACGAATTAATGCCAACACTTTCGGAGACATTACTTTCGAATTTATTTCAATCTTTTCCGATCACTCATTGAAAGTGATCGATGGGAACGCCTTTCATGGTATGGCCAGTCAGTTGAGTTGGCTCACCATTTCGGACACACCTAACCTGGATCATAATGTCACTGATATATTTGCCATAATTAGGCAATTATCAAACATAACTCAAGTATTTCTAAATAACACTAATTTAGCACAAATTCCGAGCAATGCTTTCAATGGATTAAATCATTTAAAAAATATCTTCATTTCGGACAAACTTTTGACAAGAATTAGTGAAAAAACTTTCTATGGATTAAACTCCGTAAAATTTATTGAGATTTCTGGGACCAGTATTACAAATATAAAGGAAAATGTGCTGACATTCAGTCCCACAACCGATAAACTTATAATTGATTTTATAGAGAATGCTTATCTGAATAGTTCCTCATTTGATGGCCAATCGCTCAGTCATTTGGGACGACCCGTCAGTTTGTATGCAACGGGTGAAGGCATGCAAAATGAGACCAAATCAACGAAAACGTGGACCTATTTGGATGAGAAGGCATTCAAAGGATTTTTCGCGTCTCATACCAACAATTCAATGCATTTTTCTTTCAATCATATCGAATGCAATGATAGCCGTAACCAATGGTTTATAAATGACCCTGGAGTAATGGGCAGAATATTTTTTCGTTCTCGAAAAGTAATCGATTGCCCAAAAAATGGCAAGCATATTTAAAATAACTTTATCCAACTGTCATTATAACAGCAGCAATAGAGAATGTTATAATAATATATAACTCGTGGATTTAGTTAACTTTATGCGTTAGAAATTTATTGCTCCAAAACGGATAATCCAATCCTAATCCTCTCTTCACTGTTTTATAGCTCCAACTTCTCGGTTTGTAAAAAAATTTATTTGATATAAAAATCTACCATGGTAACTGCGCCATTTGAGTTTACAAAAAAGACGTTTTTCCATTGAAAATACATTTGATTTAGCCATAGAAAATGCACAGTAACAATATTTATCAGTAGAAACCTCAATAATTTCTAAACTTACCATGATAAAATTAATCTATTTAAAGGGAATTTAAAGCACATGATTATAAATATTCTCCCTAAGACAGGACATTTCTAGACCAATTATTAGTGAACTAAAATTAATTTACCACAACTACATTAGATAAAATTAATTTGAGCATTGGACTTGAAAGATAATTGAAAATGAGCGAATTCCTATTTCAGGAATTTTTTATAATTATTAAATTTATCATTAAAAATAATTATAAAATTATAAATTTATGCAAAATTATTTATGTTTTTAAATTTTTAATTTAAAAATAATTTAATTAAAAAATTCCTGGAATATGTACTCGCTCATTTTTATTTATCTTTCAAATCCTGTGGTCGGATTAATTTTATCTAATGTAGTTTTTGTTGTACAGTAAATTAATTTTAGTTCACTAATAATTAGTCTAGAAATGTCCTGTCTTCGGAAGAATATTTAGAATCATGTGCATTAAATTCCCTTTAAATAGATTAATTTTATCATGGTTAGTTTAGAAATTATTAAGCTTTTTATTTATCAATATTGTTGCTGTGTATTTTCGACCACAAATATAATGTAAATCAATGGAAAAACCTCTTTTTTGTAAACTCAATTCGCGCAGTTACCATGGTAGATTTTTATATCAAATAAAATTTTTTTACAAACCGAGAAGTTGGGGCTATAAAACAGTGAAGAGAGAATTAGGATTGGATTATCCGTTTTGGAGCAATAAATTTCTAACGCATAAAGTTAACTAAATCCACGAGTTATATGACTCATTTAATATTGTATTAGGGCAATTTTTTGATAAATTGATACTAGGTTACAAATAAATTTAAGAACAAAATTATTAAACTATATTCTCTTAAACGAACCAAATGTACGCGTATTTCGCATTACAGTCGTAAACGTAAGCCATTCCCGATATAGCCTACAGTTGGAGCGTACGGTCAATCAGGCGTTTCTGGACCTCCAGGGCGTCGGCAACCGGACTAACGATCCGGAGTTCACGGACTTCATTGAAAGTGAGATCCTTCACGAACAGGTGGACGACATCATGAAACTGGCCGATCACGTGACTGACTTGAAATGGGTGGGCACTGGTCTCGGGGAGTACCTCTTTCACAAAAGACCCTGAGCTAAATATAGACACATAACTCGTATGAAGTATTCACTCGTTTTATTTAAATGACAATTAATACAGTATTGAGTGAATATGTTATCAAATATTTGATTATGCTTTCAATTTATTGTAACAAATAATTGATGAAATAGTGTAACCATCAGAAATGTCTTAGTGGTCACTTTCCCGGGCTCCCGAAAATCGGTCATAAATACCCGCTCCATGGCTTCCCCGATTGAACCGGTGTCAATTATTTTTATATTTTAATTTACTCAATTAAATGTAATGATGCCTTCCCGAGGCAATTGAATTGATCCCTGGCCAGATAAATATACTTAACCGCTGTCACTCTAAACTTTTGTACTTTTGGTCACTGCGACCGAACTGGTAAATATATATTGACCAAAAGTGATCAGGATATTTTCTTGTTGTGATACCAAATGTTTTGACTAATTATTGTAAATATTTTGGCCACCCGATTAATTTGCCAAAAAAGCATGCGCGACTCTAAATATATGATTGGTTACTGTATAATATATTATTGCATACCGGGAACTGGCAAATTGACCTAAATAGGTAAGGTTAGGTTAGGTCAACGGGAACATTTTACACTGGTCATCAGGTTTATTTACCTACTGGTTATTAAGTTATTTAAGTTTAGGTCAATTGGTTTTTAGGTCAATAGACCCGCACCCTTGCATACCTGATAGAAATATACAATTTATTTAATTCAAAGGTAAAGGTTTATCATAATAATTAATTTGTAATTAATTTGTTTAAACAGCAAATAGAATTTATCATTAATTTGTTGCAGTCAAACTGATTGTGAAACTGACATTCATTGTATTGATTATAAAATAAAATACTTAATTTATTTATTCAGTATTGCTTTGAAATTATATAAAATAAAAATTTAAAAGTAATTTTTCTATTCATTTTCAATAATTGAAGAATTTTTTATTCAAAATGTTTTTAAGTATAATATGTGTGATTGTATTGACCATAACATTAGGCGTATGTCAGGAGCCTGTCAACTGTCCGGATCATAAACTACTGGAGCCGTGCTATTGTTGGAATCAAAATAAATACAAACTGGGACTAAAATGCAACTCTAGCGCCATAACTGACCTTGCTCCCATATTTGCTAATATGAAAAATCTACCACAAAATCAAAAATCATTTGAGAGGTTGTATATGAGGGGCACTAATATCGCGCGGATTAATGCCAACACTTTTGGAGACATTACTTTCAAAGAGATTGACATTTTTTCCGACCACTCATTGAAAGTGATCGATGGGAACGTCTTTCATGGTATGGCCAGTCGGTTGAGTTGCTTCACCATACAGGACACACCTAACCTGGATCATAATGCCACTGATATATTTGCCATGATTAGGCAATTATCAAACATAACCGAAATATTTCTAAATAACACTAATTTAGCACATATTCCGAGCAATGCTTTCAATGGATTAAATCATTTGGAAAAAATCTTCATTGGAGACAAACGTTTGACAACAATTAGTGAAAAAGCTTTCTATGGATTAAATTCTGTAAAATTTATTCATATTTCTGGGACTAGTATTAAAAATATTAAGGAAAATGTGTTGACATTCAGTCCCACTACCGATACAATTAAGTTGGCTTTCCTAGAGAATGCTTATCTGAATAGTTCCTCATTTGATGGCCAATCGCTCAGTCATTTGGGACGACCCGTCAGTTTGTATGCTATGACTGAAGACATTGAAAGTGGTATCAAATTACCAAAAACGTGGACCTATTTGGATGAGAAGGCATTCAAAGGATTTTTCGCGTCTCATACCAACAATTCAGTGCATTTTTATTACAATCATATCGATTGCGATGATAGCCGTAACCAATGGTTTATAAAGGATCTTGGTATTATGAATAGGATTTATGAATTTGTTGAAGAAAAATCGGACAAAGTAATTAATTGCCCCAAAAATATCACCCGGATTTAAAGTTATTTTATGCAACTGTAATTAAAACTTCAATTATATGCAAATTATCCTAAATTGATATTAGCTTACAAATAAATTTACAAACAAAATTATTTTAAAATATATTCAAATACAATATATAATATTTTATTAAAAGAATTTCTAAAATTATAAATATTTTCTAATGAAATTCCAAACTTTTACAAAATATGTTACTATTTACTAATTTATTTTAAACATTTTACTGTAATTATTAATTACATATAAAATTATTTACCTGAAATAAATATAACATGATGGCATAAATATCAGTATGCTTTTGTGTCGATTCATACTGTTTGAACCAAGGAGAGGGAACACAGTTTTATCACTGCATGACCTTGCTTGGAAAATGGGTGGTTTACTCAGTATATAGCAAATAATAAATATGAAACTTTAAATTTAAACATGTATATTATTCAATGTAAAAAGTACTAGGTTAATCCCCCACCCACTATAGATTTGTGAACGGCCACTTATCCAAGCAAGGTCATGCAGTGATAAAAATGTGTTCCCTCCATGGTTTGAACAAACACCTCGTCCCTGAAATTAAACATAAATGTTATTAAGCTTGATTAATTTTGATAATATAATAAAAGTTATTTTTAATTGGGATTTGTATCAAATGTATGCGATTTAAGGCAAACATTTGGCGAACATATGTACCCAAAAACACCAAAAGTACAATTTTATAGTACAAGTACAATTTAGCAGACAATTTTCTAACACTTGTTGGTAATTAATAAACCGATTGAATGTAAACTGTAAAATGTTATAAAAGCAAAATGAATTAATTCATATAATTTAAATTGTTTGTGGAGTTAAACAATAAAATGTACAATTCTTTTCTTTAAATGAAATAATTTGTAGATTTAGAAATTTGTTAGAATTTGTAAAAAGTTTAGTTAGTAATTGTTTTGCATAATATTTAATTTAACAATATAATTGTATTAAATAACTTAATAATTATGTATTAATTATTTAATAATTAAAATAAATTATATATTTTTGTGTGAAATATACTGTAATATCGTAATATTTTTAAAATTAATTTATTAAAGCTAAATGTAAAATAAAAAACTAATTTTTAATGATTTTCTACTAAATTCAAGTAAATGTGAACATATGATCCGCTGAGTTTTGAAACCCGGTATGTATTTTTCAATGCAAACTGTATACATAACATAATCATAATATTAATAGTATATCACATATACATGTACTATCAATACAATGGTTACATTACAAATACAGTTTGCATTGAAAAATACATACCGGTTTTCTCCACGTAGACGATCATATTATATAATATATTATTGCAAACCTGATAGAAATATACAATTTATTGAATTAAAAGGGAAAGGTTTGACAAAATAATAATTAATTTGTTTAATCAGCAAATAAAATAAGTCATTAAGTGGTAGCATTACAATCTATTGTGAAATTTACATTGTAATTCATAAAAAGTCTAATCCTAATTATTAATTGCACAACATAATAACATGATTGAGTTATTTAATCAGTGTAAATTTGAAAATATATAAAATGCCGATTAAATATAATTTTTTAATTATTTTCAAGAATTTAATATTTTTCATTTAAAATGTTTGTTCATAGTATACTTTCATAGTATACCTTCATAGTATACCTTCATAGTATATTTAATTTAACAATAAAATTGTATTATTTAATAAATAACTTAATTATGAAAATATATTATGTATTTTTGAGTGAAATACAATATATTGTATTATAGTATTATTTATAAAAATTAATTTATCAAACTAAAATTAAAATAAATAAATCATTCATCAGTGCATTTTGTTAGTACAGTAAATGTAAACATATTATAAAATATTTGATTGCAGACCGAATAGAAATAAACAATTTATTTAATTGAAGGGAAAAGTTTTGCTAGATTAATTATTTTGTAATTAGTTTGTTTAAACAGCAAATTAAATGATTCATTAGTTGTCGCATTGAAATTGATTGTGAAATTTACATGTTAATTAGCATTCATAAAAAGTTTAACGATAATTAAAATTGATTACAAAATAACATTGATTGAGTTATTTAATCAGTGTAAATTTGACAATATATAAAAAGCACTTTTAATATAAATTGTTCATTTATTTTTAGAGTTTAATATTTTTCATTCAAAATGTTTGTTTGGATAATATGTGTGATTGTATTGACCATAACATTAGGCGTATGTCAAGAGCCTATCGCATGTCCGGATCAAAAACTACTGGAGCCGTGCTATTGTGAGAATCAAAATAAATATCAACTACGACTCAGATGTAACTCTAGCGCCATAACCGACCTTGCTCATATATTTGCTAACATGAAAAATCTACCACTAAATCAAAAGTCATTTGACTACTTGGCTATGAGGGGCACAAATATCCCAGAAATTAATGCCAACACTTTCGGAGACATTACTTTCAAATTCATTGAAATTATTTCCGACCACTCATTGAAAGTGATCGATGGGAACGCCTTTCACGGGATGGCCGATCGGGTGAGTTGGCTCACCATTTCGGACACACCTAACCTGGATCATAATGCCACTGATATATTTGCCATGATTAGGCAATTAACAAACATAACGACTGTATTTCTAAATAACACTAATTTAGCACAAATTCCGAGAAATGCTTTCAATGGATTAAATCAATTGGATGATATTGACATTCGGGACAAACATTTGACAACAATAAGTGAAAAAGCTTTCTATGGATTAAATTCCATAAAACGTATTCTCATTTCTGGGACTAGTATTACAAATA